CTTTCTTTTCCTTTCCCCTTCACTAAGGCTCTGACTTACATTATAATCAAACTAGTTTTCCAGCCTTCTCCTGCTCCTTCCCTGTTTCCTCACAGGCAGGCATTTCTGAGAACAGAATCCTTTCACATTTAATCCCATCTTGGTGTCTGCTTCTCAGAAGACTAAGTCTACAACTAGAGGCACTGGGAGTGATGCAAAAAAATAGGAGGTAAGATGGGGATTTGGGCCTGGCTCGCTTACTTTGTGGCAGGGCAGAGGATGCTGTCCTGATCTGTAGATGTGGCACCAATAGATCCTGGCTCAGTGTGGCAGTTGAACTACTAAAGACTTCACTGATGGTGACCTTGGAAAATGTTATTGCAGAGGGCAATATTATAGAAGAATCCATGATGTAGGCATTTGGAAAAGATGGGGTTATTTTTATTTTTATTTTTTTTAAAGATTTTATTTTTTTAACAGAGAGAGACACAGCGAGAGAGGGAACACAGGCAGAGGGAGTGGGAGAGGGAGAAGCAGGCTTCCCGCGGAGCAGGGAGCCCGATGCGGGGCTCGATCCCAGGACCCTGGGATCATGACCCGAGCCGAAGGCAGACGCTTAACGACTGAGCCACTCGGGCGCCCCAAGATGGGGTTATTTTTAAGTTGTATTGACACCCTGTGTAAGGATAAATGAGACTGAGAATAGTTAACAAGCGCTAATATCTAAGAGTGAAAACCAGAGAGCCTTGGTGGTGGAGGTCTTTTATACCAGTAGTAGAAGGGCAGACTTGTAGAACAACAAGGCTGAAGACCTGATTGTGAGTTGCAGAGTTCCAGAGGCATTTAAATGCTCAGTCCATGCAGGTGTGTTATGCAAAGGGCAGGGCCCTAATAGGAATAACCAGGGATCCTGAAAAGTGTGACAGGACATCTGGATGGATGCCCCTAAGGCTGTTGACTCCACGACTCCAGCTGGACCCTCTGGACCACTTCTACCTCTAGTAAGGGCTAGAATACTCACTGTTTTAGAAGATGCTACAGAGTCCTCCCTCCGATAAGGCAACGGGTTCTCCCCTCAGGAGCTGCTCCCACCTCCTCATGTGGCTGCCAGGCCAGTTAATGAGGGTGCTGTTCAACATCTATTAAAAAAAATAATAATAAGGAATGGAGGAGCAGGAGGCCTAGGACAGTCAGCCCAATAGAAAGCACAATTCTTTGCTCATGTCCCAGATCTGAACCAATTTTCAGTTCTAGAAATCATTGACCAAAGAGGTAGCTGGGTTCCTGGGAGAAAGGACCCTATATCAGTCCATGTATGTATCATGACCATATCACCAGTCTTCCTCCAAAAGGGCCTCTGACCACTTATGTGGATGACTGTACACTGTGGGAAAGGAAATAACCAGACATTTTGAGGTCTGAGTTGACATTGATTCCCCAAATAGGAATCTGTGCCCACCATCCAAATCATATGTGCCCATAGAGTCCCCTACCCTCACAGTGATCATTTTCTCAGTCCCTGAGTACGTAATTGAACTTATACTTGGCAGTTGAAGTTAACCCCCACACTGGGTCTTCATCTCTGAAGTAAAAACTATCATGATGGGAAAAACCAATTGGAAACTTTAGAACTGTCCCTCTCCCACCCAAGGCCAAAATTGTAAAGCAAAAGCAATTTCTTAACCCAGGGAAGACAGCAGAGATTAGTGCCACAAATAAAAACCTAAGAGATGCAAGGGTCTTGGTGCCTGTCATTACTCTAAATGGCCAGTTTGGATGTATTGTAGAGAAAGACTGTAAGCCACTGCAGGTTTAACCAATTATTAGCCCCAAGTGCAGCTGCTTTGCCGGATATGGTGTCACCGCTAAAGCAGACTAATAAGTCTTCAGGTGTAGGATATGCAACCACTGACTTGGAGAATGCATTCTTTTTGTGCCAATTAGAAAAGAGTATCAAGAACAGTTTTCGACTTCTGGTTTTGGCTCAATATGCATAGTGCTATCATTACAACAAGAAAAAGGTGAATAATCTGAAAATCAATCACTCAGTGAACTGAGTTTTCAGGGCAAACTCCCATCCTGAAATCTATATAAAACAGACAAATCCAGGTAGTCACTAACATCTGCTTATCTGGAACCGAAGCTGCTAGAAACATAAACTGGTAGGAACACTTAAATAGTGATTTTGATGAATTAATGGAGGAAAAATAGGCAAATCCACTATTAAAGTTGAAGACTTCAGCAGCCACCCTGTCAGTAACTGATAGATCAAAAACGGAGAAAAGTCAATAAAGACATAGTTGACCTGAACAGCAATGTCAGTCAACTCAATCAATTGACATTTATAGAATATTCCATCCAATAACAGAATACAGATTCTTCTCAAGCTTACCTGTCACATTCACCAAGGTAAACCATATAAGACTCTCAGCTCCATGAGGACAGGGTCTGTGTTTATAATTCTCACTGTGGTATCCTTAGCACAATGTCTGGCACATAGGAGCTGCTTGATGAATATATTTTGAATAAATGAATGAATTGTAAAATTAGGTGATAAGACAAGGAATTTAGTCAGGATAGGAATAGTAGCGAGATACAGTCTAACACAAAGAATATTTAAGCTTTGGGGGTGCCTGGGTGGCTCAGTCGATTGGGTGTCTGACTTGATTTCGGCTCAGGTCAAGATCTCAGGGTTGTGAGATGGTGGTGCCCCATATCAAGCTCTGCACTCAGCGCTGAGTTGGCTTGAGATTCTCTCCCTCTCCCTCTGCCCTTCCCACTCCCCCACCGCACCCTGCCCTCCCCAACCAGTTCACGCTCTCAATAAATAAATAAATAATAAAAATAAGTAAGTAAATAAATAAATTTAAGCTGCAAAGCTCAGAACTGCAAATCCACATCAATAAATAACATAAAACATCCTTTGTCATAGAAATTGCCACTTAATTAGTATTCCTAACCCCCTGCTCTCATCATGCCACTTGTTTAATAATTTCCGATAGCTCCCAGGGTTTAGCTTCCTGAGCCTGGCAGTCTAAGTCTTCTATAACCAGGTCCTTCCTTATTTATCTTACCTTATCTCTTATTTATTGCTCAGATATCTTGCTTTAGTTCTATCATTACCACTAAGTAATCTTTTGACTCAAGTCTTTGATCAATATATAGCTCCCCTTCTCCCTCTTTTTTGCCCATTCAGATCCTTCCCCTTTGGGGGATCCTGAGTGCTCTAGCCCATGTTGATCAGCCTCTTTCAAAAACTTGTGAGCATTTATTGTCTGTGTTTCACATATTGGCATTTAGTCATGTATTGCCTTGAATTTTACCTATTTCATATGTATGTTTCTTGTATGAATTTCTAGAGTTTTGGGTCATATCTCATTCAGGTCATCTTTAATATAAAAATAATTTATATTCCTGTAGTTTATTGATAAGCTAATTTCTTTTAGAACTTAGAGTGCATTTTCCCATTGAAACAATATTAAAAAGAGTTAGATTCTCTTTTACATTTATAAAAATGTATTTGAGAAATGATGTAACTAAACCATGTTACTATGGTGGACTAAGCTTGGAATTCTCCTAGCAAGGGTCTATACAGCAAAATTTTGAACTACTTCCATCACTCCTTGATTATTTCATCAAAAACTCTTCATACTTGAGCAGTGGTTTATTTCATAAGGGTTTAATTTTCTATAAGATAACTCAGTTTAACCTCTTAAATTTGTGGGGCTTTCATGGACTTTCTTCTGGAGCAAGTTTGTATTTGGGGGAGGGGGACTGCAGACCATTTATGACACCAGTGCATGGTTTTCAAAGACAAATAAGGCCTGCCTGCGAAATATCACCCAGTTATGTTTTAATGGTAACCAAATATGCATAGTGGAGAATTGTCATAACCAAGAGATTTGTATTATCACTGGTGTTATTTTTAGAGACAAGAACTTGCCTTGTTTCAGCTGACCTAATTATTCTGTTGATACAATTTTTTATATTCTAATAAGTGTTAATAAGTATCTAGGAGAGAAAATAAGTTTTTAGAGAATTAGCTGTTTTTCAGGAGGAGGGGATGAGCTCTAAAATATCTTGCAGTTTTGCTTTGTGAAGATTTAAATCAGCTGCTTCTCTTTTTCTTTAAATGTTTCTTTTAATAACTTAAGTGACCTAAATCATGACCAACAAGGGTTATGTAGAATTCAGTTTGGAGATTTTTTAATGTTAATGTGGTAATGTGTAAGAATATGAGAAATAATTGGAGTTACTGCAAATAACTAGCTATTAGTTTAAGGATTAAATTTTTAAACTAAATTGCTGTAATGCAGTATTGCTCTGGCATTTGGCTAAACCTCTACTCAGCTCCAGCTATTTGTGATGAATGGTATTTGGCTTGAGGTCTTAGTTTCCAGAACTGTCCTACCCTGCAATATTTTCTCAATTCTCCTGGTCATCAACTTTATTGTCTGTTCTTCTACTGTACTATTATTACACTGGAATCAGTCATATGAAAAATATATAATAATATTGTTTAGCATGTGTGGCCTTTGGAGTCAGATTACCTGGGTTCTTTTTTTTTTTAGATTTTATTTTTAAGTAATCTCTACATCCAACATGGGGCTTGAGATCAAGAGTCTCATGCTCCACTGACTGAGCCAGCCAGGCGCCCCAAACTACCTGGCTTCTAATTCCAGCTCTACCATTTATTAGCTGTGTGTCTTTGGACCACTTACTTAACATCCAGCAGATGCAATTTTCTCAACAGTAAAATGGAAATAAATATATTAGCCATCTTCCTGGCTTTTATAAGGATTAAATGAAATAGTCTATGGAAAGCACTTAGCACAAGTACAGACTTGGAATACTGTTAGGGTTAAATAAATATTGTAATTATTATTATTGCTATTACTTAAAAGGTACATATAGAATTTGAAGTCACAGAATGTTATGAGGTAGGCATTTGCCAGTGAAGAAATTTCTTACTGTTATTTAGAACATGAGTACATGTAAAAATTTACTATTTATACTTTTAGGAATACTTAAATACATTACTTAAACAGCTAGGAAAAGAGAAAAGAAGCCTTGAAAATCAAGTAAAAGACTGTGCACTGAGACTGGAACAAGAATCAAAGGTTTGTTTTTATTCTGTACTAGACATTTCTTTGTAACTGCCATTATTTTTAGTATGTTATCTACAAACCTACTATATTATCACAAAATACTTAAAAAACTATTTCCTACACTATTTTAAAAAACAGCATAGACATAAACTTGACTTAGTAATAGTCTTGCTAATATTGCAAATCCTCTCTGATGTTGGATTCTTTTTTTTTTTTTTAAGATTTTATTTATTTATTTGAGAGAGAGAATGAGAGAGAGAGAGCACATGAGAGGGGGGAGGGTCAGAGGGAGAAGCAGACTCCCTGCTGAGCAGGGAGCCCGATGCGAGACTTGATCCTGGGACTCCAGGATCATGACCTGAGCTGAAGGCAGTCGCTTAACCAACTAGCCACCCAGGCGCCCTGGATTCTTTACTTATGTATTTTTCCTCTAGGCTTACCACAAGACCAACAATGAGCACCGTAGATACCTAGCTGAAATGTCTCAGGTAACTTTTGTTGTCTTACTTCCAAATTTTAAGAGTTTCCTCTTACTGTAAATTACATTTTTCACTTTTCTAGGCTTTTGATTGGTTTGGTTTGATAAACAAACATATGTTGGAATTATGGGAGAAAATGTACCAAGTTTCTAAATATGGAAGGTGAAAAGGAAAATTTATAGGTTTTATAAAAAGGTAACAAGGAGATAAAAGTTTCCCAGATTAAGGGAATATTTTACATATTTGCTTCCTTAGTTATCCTTTTAGTTTGATCTATAATTTCTAGAATTCAAGCAAATAAGCAGTTATCCCTCTGTTATCATGAAATTCATGACACATTATGTCATAATTATTCACAGTGAGGCCTAAGATACTGCACTATTACTAGAAAGGGTGTACTTACAATACAAGATAGGAAAGTGTGTACATACAAATGATAGGACAGGAAAGTGATCAGTAAATTATGAATGATGTTGCACATATTTTCCATAGTTTTTCATTTGCTTTTCAGTTTTATTTTTGATGATGTTAGTATTACTGAGTTTTTATTTTGATGTTGTCAGAGCCAATTTTTATTTATGGCTTCTGATGTCATAGTTTAAAAGTCTTCATGTCAATGTTTCATAACATTTATCACATTTTTTTTTAGTACTTGGCTAAATGTTTTACATTTAAATATTTAATCCTTGTTAACTTTATTTTGATATATGTTTTAAAATCAGGATATGAGTTTAGTTTTCAATGCACATTATCTAAATGGAAGTGTCCAAAGAGCAGTTGGATATATGAATCTCAGGGTAGAAAAGATAAAAATTGGAGATATAGACATGGAAATTATTAGCATATAGATAGTAAATGAAGCCATATGAATGAATGGAATGCATCAGGGAGAGTATACAGGGTGAAAAGAAAAGATAGTTTAGAATATAGCTCTGAAGAGTTGCAAAGGGATGGTCAGGGGAGGAAGGGCCAAGAGGTAGGTTGGAGTCTTCAGGACATTAACTAGGTGAGGCAAGGAAGCAGAGGACCTTGAGGGCTGGGTTTGCCATAAAGATAGTCTGCTAATCACTGATCTGGTATTTCCAGAGGATCAATGAAAGGATGGAGAGGAAGGGAGTTAGGATTGGGGCTTGGAGCTGATAAGGGAATGTATAGAACAATTTTGGAATGAAAGTCAGGGCAGTGGTGGGTAAAGGGAGGCTTAGACTTCTTTTTTTTTTTTTCTAGTAGTGACTAAGATTCAGTTAGGAAATTGAGACAAAATAGAATCGCTCCTGGGGCGCCTGGGTGGCTCAGTCATTAAGCATCTGCCCTTGGCTCAGGTCATGATCCCAGGGTCCTGGGATCAAGCCCCGCATTGGGCTCCTTGCTCGGCAGGAAGCCTGCTTCTCCCTCTCCCTCTCCCCCTGCTTGTGTTCTCTCTCTCTCTGTGTCTCTCTCTGTCAAATAAATAAATAAAATCTTTAAAAAAAAAAAAAAATAGAATCACTCCTGTAGTCTCTTACCCATTAAACAGTCAGTTCACACTTGATGGTCCTGGATACTCAGTTGGCATCACTGCCAACTGAGGCAGGCACCCTCATGCCTTTCCTTAGACCATGACTCCACCTGGAATATGCTGCTTTTCATATGTGCCAATTCTGCTTCCTTCAAGTTCTAGCATAAATGCTAACTGCTTTATAAGACCATGATTTGAGGAAAGACCACAGGTTTTGGAGTCATTTAAATTTGGATTTAAATCCCAGCTTGGTACCTAATTGTGGTGTGAACTTTTGGGGCCTAATTTCTTTCCTTCTTGGTAGAACGGGAAATAATAGTACTGTGTTGCAGGGGATTTGTGAGTGTTTAGAGATGAAAGGTATATAAAGTGCTGAGTAAAATGCCTGGCCCATAATATGTTCTAAATTCTAGTAAGTGGTGAACATTATTTTCCTGTTTTCTTTCCTGATCTCCCTAGCCTCTCTCTCTGTGACAGGGGCATTAGAATTTCTACTTGCCTCAGCCTTCCTCCTTTAGCTTCATTTGTTTATCTGAAAAATTCACTAAGGTAAAATAGGTTCTACTCTGATTATACAGGATCACTGAACATACAATCAAAGCCTATTTTAACAGCTTCCCAGGAAGATGTTAATCCTGTTCCCCAATATAAATGTTAATAAGGATTTTCACTCTAGAATGAATTGTTAATCTTTATAGTCAAAGATGGTTCTGACCATGTGGATATTAGGGTGATGGGAAAGGTCAGCGGATGATCTGCAGTTCCTTCCATGCTGAATACATAAATAATTGATTCTTAGGTAGATAACTAGAGCTATTTGCTGAGGCTGCTGTTTATACTTCTGCTATCTTCACTGTTTTGAATGAAACTGAGTTTCCATATCTCAGGATTTTTCTAATTTATGCAATATGTGTACAGTATGGACACTGAGTTGTAAGAATATATAGGTTTGTTGCATTACTTAAAAGTCAGGCAGAGGAGAAAACCGCTTTTGGGTTGAGCTGCCGGTCATCCACGAGGTTCTCTGAGTTTGCTCCCAAGCGCATCTGCAATTCAAAATGTTGCACCCATCCCCCCAAACTAAGCCCTCCAACCCCAGTAACCCCAGAGTCTTATTTGATGTGGACATCGGAGGGGATTGAGTTGGTCGAATTGTCTTAGAATTGTTTGCAGATATTGTACCCAAAACTGCAGAAAATTTTCGTGTATTGTATACAGGAGAAAAAGGCGTTGGACCCACCACTGGGAAACCTCTCCATTTTGAAGGATGCCCTTTCCATCAAATTATTAAGAAATTTATGATTCATGGTGGATACTTCTCAAATCAAAATGGGACAGGTGGAAAAAGTATTTATGGTGAAAAATTTGATGATGAAAATTGCGATTATAAGCATGATCAGGAAGGTTTATTGAGCATGGCAAATGTAGGCTGCAATACAAGTGGTTCTCAATTCTTTATCACAACAGTCCCGACTCCTCACTTGGATGGGAAACATGTGGTATTTGGCCAAGTAATTAAAGGAATGGGTGTGGCAAGGATACTGGAAAATGTAGAAGTGAAAGGTGAAAAACCTGCCAAATTGTGTGTTATTGCAGAATGCGGAGAATTGAAGGAAGGGGATGATTGGGGCGTATTCCCATAAGATGGCTCTGGTGACAGTCATCCAGACTTCCGTGAGGATGCAGATATAGATTTAAAAGATGTAAATAAAATTTTACTAATAACAGAAGATGTAAAAAGTATTGGAAATATATTTTTCAGATCTCAGAACTGGGAGATGGCCATTAAAAATATACAAAAGTTTTAAGATATGTGGAAGGTTCAAAGGCTACTATTGAGCAAGCAGATAGATCGAAGCTGCAACCTATAGTTTTAAGCTGCGTGGTGAATATTGGTGCTTGTAAACTGAAGATGTCAAATTGGCAGGGAGCAATCGACAGTTGTTTGGAGGCTCTTGGAATAGACCCATCCAATACCAAAGCATTGTACCATAGAGGTCAAGGATGGCAAGGATTAAAAGAATACGATCAAGCATTGGCTGATCTTAAGAAAGCTCAGGAGATAGCACCGGAAGATAAGGCTATCCAGGCAGAATTGCTGAAAGTCAAACAAAAGATAAAAGCACAAAAAGATAAAGAGAAGGCAGCGTATGCAAAAATATTTGCCTAGTAAGAAGTTCGGTTTTACTTAAATATGCATTGATTGATTGTTATATAAAGGCAATAAGAACATTTAAAGGTTTTTGTTAGTTATATATGGTCCCTGATGTCCCACTCTTAATAAAACATTGTTACAAAAAAAAAAAAGTCAGGCAGAAAGTCTGACTAGAACTTGTAACACATAATAAACTTAAGCTCTGTTTCCATAAATGTGGCATTTTAGCAGTAGATCTGAGACACTATTGAATATAATGCTTTGGTTTACAGATAATGAACCTGAGGCTGTTCTGTTTCATTGTCAGGCAATTCTAATTATTAGAATTGTTAAAGCATCATGTAATTCTCCTTATTCTCCTTCCTTAAAACGTATTGGTTTTAGTTTCTTCCACTGAAGAACACAGGACAATTCTATATGTCTCCTCTGTAACAGCTTCTCAAAGATATGAAAACGACCCTTAAGTGTTTCCATAGTTTTTTTCCCTAAGCTAAAATATTAAATTACCACAAAAGTTACACTAGCAGTTCCTTATGTCATAGGTTCCAGACTATCCAGCTCTTTCTGTTGTCTTTTTGGACAACTCTATTTTATTATTATTCATTTGAAAATAGAGCTCCCAGATTTATTTTTATTTTCTTTTTAAAAGATATTTATTTATTTATTAAATAAAGATTAAAATCTTGCCCCCACCATACTCAATTTTTTCTCCTCTGCTGCCTGAGCAAGCATTCTGAAATACAGATACGGTGTTGTTCCCTACTTTTTTTAAAAGATTTATTTAGGGGCACTTGGGTGGCTCACTCAGTTAAGCATCTGCCTTTGGCTCAGGTCATGATCCCAGGGTCCTGGGATTGAGTTCTGCATCAGGTTCTTTGCTCAGCGGGGAGTCTGCTTCTCCCTCTCCCTCTGCTGCTCCCCCTGCTTGTGCTTGCTCTCTCTCTCTCTGACAAATAAATAAATAAAATAAAATCTTAAAAAAAAAATAAAGATTTATTTATTTATTTGAGCGGGGAGGGGCAGAGAGAGAGGGAGTGAATCCCCAAGCAAACTCCCCGCCGAGCATGGAGCCCGACTTGGGGCTGGATCCTAGGACCCTGAGATCAGTACCTGAGCCGAAATCAAAAGTTGGACGCTTAACTGACTGAGCCACCCAGGAGCTCTGGTGATGTTCCCTATTTAAAGCCTTCAGTGACTTTGCATTGTCCAAAGGATTTCGGCAAAGCTCAGTGTAGTCTACAAGATCCTTTCCAATACCTGCCTTTCCAGCTGTGTCCCTACTCACATCTTGTATTGCAGCCAGACCAAAGATAAATGTGGTCCCTGCATATGTCATGCTGTCTTATACTGGTAGGCCCTTCCTGCTCCTTCTGCCTGGAATGTCCTTTCCTTAGCTCTTAATTGGTTACTCTTCCAGGCCCCCTATGGCTTGAACTAGCATCTGCCTTATGCTTACAAAGCACCTGTGCAAACCTCTGCCAAGGCAGTGAATTGTATAATCTATGTATTATACTCCAATAGATTGTAAGAACTGTGACTTATCTTTGTGCCCCAGTGCTAAACTGGAGGTGGCACATAGTGGTTGCTCAATAGCATTTACTGAGTGAATAAATGAGTGAATTCCATCTGGTCCAATGTGCCCCAAATTGTCCCACTTAGCAAAGATGATCTAACATCTTCACAAAGATGCTCATCTCTTCCACCAAAATAAAACAGAAACCAACTTTTATTTTACCCCATCTTTTTTTTTTTTTTTTTAAAGATTTTATTTGACAGAGAGAGAGAGAGCACAAGTAGGCAGAGTGGCAGGCAGAGGGAGAGGGAGAAGCGGCTCTCCACTGAGCAGGGAGCCGGACGTAGGGCTCAATCTCAGGACCCCAGGATCATGACCTGAGCCAAAGGCAGCCGCTTAACTGACTGAGCCACCCAGGTGCCCCTATTTTACCCTGTCTTAACAAAACTACTACCTTAGCTTTTCTTTTCTCAAACTTCGTGCAAGGGTGGATATACTCACTGCTTTGCTTTTAGTCTTAGACCTCTTTCAATTCCTTTCTGACCCCCAGCACTGGGCTCTGGCACAGTTTACTTTTTAACATAATGACTCCTTTTCAAACCTCCTGGTAGTGTAGACATCTCTGAGGCATTTCATATTGCTAACTATGCTCACTTTTTGAATATCACCCACCTCATGACTTCCATGCCAGTATTTTTTCCTGTTTTCCTATTTTTTAAGGGATGGCCTTTAGTAATTCTCCTACCCCTTAAAAGTTGCTTTCTCAAGTTTTTATCATCAACTCTCTTCTCTCTGTGTTCTTACTGAATGATCTCATTTACCCATGTCTTCAATGCCATCTCTAAGGTCACCAGCCTTAACTGTTCCTGTACTGGGAATTTTATTTATACCACCTACAGAAAGTCTCTACTTTTGTATCACAGAAGTATCTAAAACAAACAAAAATGAAAATATGATCTTGTTTTTCCATTTCCACTTCTATTGCCATATCTTTCTTAATGGCAGAGTATATGTATTATTTATATTCAGTGTCTGTTATGAAAACTTTTAATGATCTTTATACCACAAAGATGATATGATTTTCACAATTTCCTCTATATTTATTTTAAAAATCACATGGAATGTAGGGTTGAGATTAAGGAGTTTCCATAATCTTTAGAAACCTCTTAATACTAGAGAAGGCCAGAATTTCCCATTATTCTTTATCTTCTCTTATGCATACCACTTAAGGGCCTGGTTATAAAAGAGTTAATTGAGAATGGACTGTTCCTCTTATCTCCAAAATCAGTCATGAAATAAGAGGACAAATGCTCAAATGTTTGTATTTCAGGTCTCTGACTCATACCAAGTTTCTAAAAGGCAACAGATGGATCAACTGCCTAGAATGAAAGAGAAGCTAGTGAAAATGTAAGTCTAACTATATCTTTCGTTTCTAATTAATTATATTTGCATGTGAATGATACTGACAAAACAGGTGTCCATTATATTTTGGAAGTTGAACTTCTAGATTTTATAGCAATGATATAAAATAAAAAACAGATGGTAAAAGAACTTAAAGAAATTTATGCTCTCTATTCACTATTTATATACATTTTTGTAGATCCCAAGAATATGTTTTGTCTTCCAACAAGGTAAGTTCTTATTTTCTAAGCTAAAACAATACGCTACCCAAGAGGAGCCTAAATCTACACCATTAACAATATAAATACAATTAAATTACCAGCCTTAACTTTTTTACAGACGAAATATAGACACTGAAATTAGTGTAGAAGACAGTGCAGCACCAGTGGAAAACTGTGTTTTCCAATGCAAACAAAAGTAATTTAGGATGAATAAAGAACAGAGGAATGTTTTATGGGTTTAGGAGGTTATATCTACACATAATTTTTCCTGTTCTATACTAAGTACAGAATAATTAGCCAAGCAATCCTTGTCTTATATAACCTTTTCTATGTAGGTGAATATATTCATATATAACTTAACAATATCAAAAGAGTAAACCAGGATATAAGTTAGCAATAAGTCAGAATTATTTTCAAATACAGGCATAAAAGGTATATGCAATATAGCAAGTGTTTTTGGTGGAGATTCATGGGATAGCAACATTTTGTCCAATATATGGCTAGATGGATAAAAGTGTGTTCTTCCTTGAGTAGTCATAAATATTTTAAATTATAACTTATTATCCTGTACATTTAATATCAATAGAAATATAGTGAAAACATTAAATTCTGGAAAATGACTTCCCTCTGAAAACTATTATACCTCTGTGCTGGGGGGCCCCAAGACCAGTCCCATGTTCAGTGATTTGCTAGAACAACCCACAGGACTCAGCATATATTTGTGCATACAGCTTGGATGTATTACAGCCAAAGGATACAAAGAAAAATCATCAAAGGAAAAAGGTGTATGGGGTGAAGTTTGGAGGAAACTAGGCACAAGCTTCTAAAAGTCCTCTAGTGCAGTCACATAGGACACACTTTGCTCCTCCAGCAGTAGGTCGTGGAACAATGTGTGACAACACATGAAATTTGATCTTCCAGGGAAATTCATTAGATACTTGTACCCACGTTTTTTACCGAGGGCCAGTCGTGTAGGTACCCTTTGCTTAGCACATACCAAATTCCAGACTTCCAGAAGGAAAACATGTTCACAGAAACCATATTGTTTGTACAGTTTAAGTACAGTAAGCCATTCTTTTTCATTTAAGGAAAATTTTATATCAGTGTAGGGAACTTTTTATCACTAAGTTCCCAGACACCAGCCAAGGGCCAGCCTTGAAAGAAGGCCTTTCTAGTTTCAGGCTTGCTACAGTAACTCTTTCTGCACAGTCACCCTACATATTTCTTTTTTATTTTTACCATTTATCTTCCAATTAATATTTCTTTTTTATTTTTATATTTATCTTCCAATTATATTTTAGAAAGAAAATACCTCTTTTATTCAAATTTGCTTAAATAATGGAGAAATATTTTGAAAATACAAATAAAACTCATTCTACTCATGTATTAACACACATACACATCTATATTATTATACTATAGGTCTGTTAGGGCAGTTTAGTTTTCCACTGATGCTGTTGTAGGTTGGATCTCTCCGGGAGCAGACTCTGAAATGGAAATGAACATGTAGGAAGTTTACTCTTAAGCATTCTTAGAATGAGTACCTCGAGGAGAAGGGAAGGAAATAGATTTGGGCAGAGAGAATAGGGCTACAGTGCAGCTGCAGTCTCATGTATCAAGCTGATTCATCAGTGAATGAAGTATGGACTTTCTCTTCCCCTGATGGGGTGACCTACCCTGAGAATCAGAGCCCAGTTTGTCATATTCTTTCCAGGCCATGTTATAAATGGTTCTCATCCACATAACTGTCAAATTGGGCAAGGTGGTACTAACAGACACTCAAGTAGATGACCTGGATGCCAACCCATTCCTCCTTGCCCCCTGCTATATCATCCTGATGATCAGTTTCTCTTTAGGGCCCTTCATGCCGTAGGTCTGAACTGAGCTGGAGGTACTAGTGCATCACAAGATTACTGAGCAGGTATCCCAGACCACATCATCCACCTGCTCAGTAAGCTTGTCTGTGCCCTCTGGCACTGCACATCTTGGTCTTGGATATGTCACTTCCATCCTTGGTAGAACCTAATGTTGAATACAGTGCCTGGCATAAATAAATAGGTGTTTACTAATTTTTTAATGAATGCATGAATGAATTAATGGTCATACAAATGGGAAAAAAACCTCTCCACTTTCTGGAAATATTAATAAACCAAATAACTCAAATAATAGAAACATTTCTATATACCTATAACCTTCCAAATTAGGTATATATAATTGGTCTACTTTAAAGTATTGTTGTTCTGAGTTATTGCCTCAACTTTGGAACTTAGTACACTTTTTGATTCAAGTTTTAGTCTTTAAACCAAGTTTTAGTGTTAAGTACCTCACATAGGAGGATATCCAAATGGCCAATGGACTCAAACACCATTACTTATTCAGTGGAATGCAAGTTAAAATTATGAGAGGCCACCACAAATTTTAAAGATTGATGATTCCAAGTGTTGTCAAAGATATGAAGTGTAAATTTATGCGACCACTTTGGAATAGTGTTTAGTATTACTTCCTACATTTAGCTGATCATATACCTACTCTATAACCCAACAGTTGCACTCTTAGTTATATACCTAACAGAATGTTGCATATATTTATACCAAAGAAAACCTGTGCAAGAATGTTCATAACAGCTTTATTCATAACAACCATAAACTGAATTCAAATATCTATCAGTAGTAGATCAGATAAAATTTTTGAGAGATATATATTCATACATATATGATATTCTTATATAAAAACAAATATTCATATATTTATGAATAGTAACATGAATCTATTAAAAATATATATGAATAATAACAACAATAAAATCAAACTACAGTTCACACAACATCATGGATATTATAACAGTTTTGTGGAAAGGAGGCCAGAAATAAAAGAATACATATAATATGATTCTATTTATATGATGTTCAAAGACAGGCACAACTAAACTGTGTTGTCAGAAGACAGGATAGTGGTTACCAATGGGAAGGAGAAGGGGAATGATAATTGGGAGGAGCACAAGGTCTTCCAATGTGATGGCAATGTTCTGTTTGTTGACCTGGGTGTGGTTACATGAGTATTTGCTTTATTATAAAGCAAATCTTACATCTCTATTTTGTGCACTCTACTATATGTGGTATTCTTAAAGCAATGTTTTAGAAATCAAGTTTTAGTGGCATTTAATGTTTGCTTTAGTTGATATTCTCACATATGCTAATGTTAAATATTGACTTCTGGAGTTTTCCTATGTTCGGAATAAATGAGAGCATTAGAAAATACCCACATGGGGTACCTGGGTGGCTCATTTGGTTGAGTGTCCTACTCTAGATTTCAGCTCAGGTCATGATCTCACCATCATGAGATCAAGCCCTGCATCGGGCTATGCACTGGGCATGGAGCCTGCTTAGAATTCTCTCTCCCTCTCCCTCCGTCCCTCCCCCCACCCCGCTCACATGCATGCTCTTTCTCCTTCTCTTAGAAAGAAAAGAAAGAAAGAAAGAAAAAAGAAAGAAAATACCCATTTGACTGTGATATACTATTAAAAAAATCTTTCAAAGAGGGATATTGAATATTAGCTATTGCATATATTCCTACTTTGTGAAACCATAGTCACAAAATGAACAAGATATCTATACTGCTATTAAAATATGTATTCTAGAGATTCTTACATATACTTATTTGAAAAAAGAATATGGGGCACATGGCTGGATCAGTCACTGGAGCTTGCAACTCTTGATCTCAGGGTTTTAAGTTCAAACCCCACATTGGGTGTACAGATTACCTAAAAATAAAATCTTAAAAGGATAAATAAGAGATAATCATCTTTAAGATAAATAGGAGAAATCATCTCCTTAGGATGAGGTTTGGAAGTTGCCAAGTTAATAGGTAACCTTATGACTATGATTATGGCATGTATTAACTATAAAATATCATATTCCTTCAAGCAAAGACTTCAAAAGCTGAGACCACAAGCAGTGGTTCCTAAACGTAGAAAACCATAATTTTTTTTTTCCTTTAGTGTGAACATCCTCATTTTTTTTCTCCTTAGAAGTGTTCTAAGAGTGATTAAAAGCTCTAAAGAAGAAAATAAGACAACCCTTAGTGCCCTAGAATCACAGGACCTGAGGGAAATTGATTCTGGGACTCATTAAGAGACAGATTGTTTAGGGAACCCCCTTTTGATAAGAAAAGCAGCTAGAGTAGAGAAAACACAACCAAAATATCCAACATTAAGGGAATAATTCAGTTAACTATGATGATATTATATATAAAGTTACAAAAAATTATATTCTAGGAAAATATATAATTGACACAGGAAAGTTTTTACCTATAGTAGTAATTAAAAATTATAATACAAAATAGTATAGTGAGATTATGGATAATTTATATTTTCTGGTATTTTCTATAAGAATATGTGTACTTTTGGGCGCCTGGGTGGCTCAGTTGGTTAAGCGACTGCCTTCGGCTCAGGTCATGATCCTGGAGTCCCGGGATCGAGTCCCGCATCGGGCTCCCTGCTCGGCGGGGAGTCCGCTTCTGCCTCTCCCACTCTCCCTGCTTGTGTTCCCTCTCTCGCTGTGTCTTTCTCTGTCAAATAAATAAATAAAATCTTTAAAAAGAAAAAAAAAGAATATGTGTACTTTTAACACAACTTATAAAGCACCCAGCTCATAAAGGGCATTCAAGATATGGCACTGTTTTTATAAGGTTCCATTGGTTCTACTAAGGGAAGAACAATGAAGATTTTAAATAAACATAGAAAAAACCTAAACCTTGATAACATCATTTGGGACTAGATGTATATAGGAAGTCAAGGTAATTATTTATGGGATACTTGTGTCTAATTGCTTTAGTGTTTCCATTTGTTTTCCCATCTCACATTTAGGTCTTTCGTCCATTTTGAATTTATTTTTGTGTATGGTGTAAGAAAGTGGTCTAGTTTCATTCTTCTATATGTTGGGTTATTCAAAATTTACCCTTTTAAAGCGAAACTCATTGCTTTTTGGTGTATTCACAAAGTTGCACAACCATCACCGCTATGTGCTTAAAGAACATTTTCATCTCCCTCCAAAACCGCTTTATCCATTAGCATTCACTCTCCATTCCTCCCTCCCCCTAGCCCCTGGCAATTGCTAATCTACTTTCTGTCTCTATATTTATTCTTGTTATTTCATATAAATGGAAACAAATAATATGTGGCCTTATGTGCCTGACTTTGTCACTTAGCATAATTTTTCAAGGTTCGTTCATGTAGGAGCATATATCAGTACTTTATTACTTTCTGTGGCTGAATAATATTCCAGTTCTTGGATCTGTCACATTTTGTTTGTCCATTAATCAGTTGGTGGACATTTGGGTTGTTTACGCCTTTTGACCATTGTGAATAATGCTGCTATGAACATTCTTATACAAGTTTTTGTGCATATATGTTTTTAATTCTGTTTGGATATACGCCTTGGAATGGAATTGCTGAGTCAATTGATAACTGTTTTATCTTTTTAAGGAACTGCCAAACTATTTTCCAGAGTGACTGCACCATTTTATTTTCCCTTTAGCAATGTATGAGGGTTCCAGTTTCTCCAAATCTTTATCAACATTTGTTATTGTCCTTTTTTTAGCCATCCCAGTACTTGTGAAGTGGTATCTCATTGTACTTTTGATTTGTACTTCCCCAAAGACTAACAATGTTAAGCATCTTTTTGTGTACTTGCTTTCCATTTGTATATCTTCTTTGGAGAAATGTCTGTTCAAGTCATTTGCCCATTTTTTAAAAGATTTTATTTATGTATTTGAGAGAGAGAGAGAAAGCACAAGCAGGGGGAGTGGCAGAAGAGGAGAGAGAAGTAGTCTCCCCACCGAGCAGGGAGCCCAAAGCAGGGCTCCATTCCAGGACCCTAGGATCATGACCTGAGCTGAAGAGAGACACTTAGCCTACTGAGCCACCTATGCACCCCCTTTTGCCTGTTTTTAAATTGGGTTGTTGTCTTGTTGTGTTATAAGGGTACTTTATATATTCTGGTTACTAGGCCTTATCAGATACATGTTTTGCAAATATTTTCCTACATTCTTTGTTGTTATTTTTTCTTTCTTGATGATGTCCTTTGAAGCACAAAAGTTTTGATTTGGATGAAGGCCAATTGACCTTGGCTTCCTAGGATTTTTTGCCTAATCCAAGAGCACAAAGATTTATACATATGTTTTCTTCTAAGAGTTTTATAGTTTTAGGTCCTTTTTGATTCATTTTTTTATGATTGCTTTTATTTATTTTTTTTAATTTTATTTTATTATGTTATGTCACCACTGATTCATTTTTGAGTCAATTTTTGTATATAGTGTGAGACTGGGATCCAGTTTCAGTCTTTTGCACGTGTCTATCCCATTGTCCTAGTACCATTTGTTCTAAAGACTATTCTTCTCCATTTGATTGTCCTTGCACACTTTTAAAAAATCAACCATAAACATACAAGTTTATTTCTAGACTCTCAGTTCTACTCCATTGATTTATAAGTCTGTCCTTATGCCAGAGCCGTGCTGTCTTGAAGACTAGGTTTTCACTAAGTTTTGAAATAAGTAAGTGTGATTACTCCAACTTAATTCTTCTTCTTCTTTTTTTTTTTAAGATTTTATTTATTTGAGATAGAGAATAAGAGCATGAGCTAGGAGACAGAGGGAGAGGGAGAAGCAGGCTCCCCACGGAGCAGGGAGCCCTATGCTGGGCTCAATCCCAGGACCCTGGGATCATGACCTGAGCTGAAGGCAGCCCCTCAACTGAGTGAGGCACTCAGGTGCCCCTAATTCTTCTTTTTCAAGATTGTTATGGTTATTCAGAGTCCCTTTAATTTCCATATGAATTTTAGGGTCAGTTTTTCAACTTCTTCATAGGAATACCACAAAGCTGGGGAATGAGGGCTAGGGGAAGTTAAAATGCTACAAAGTTCAGTGTTTTTGCTGAGTTTCAGCTCTGTGTGTGTTGGGCTGTGGGTGTGGTGTGTGATGTGTTTAATAAATTCTCCAGGATTGCTTCAAGTCCTTGGTTAATTTCCAGAGCTCAGAAAAAGTTGCTTCTGACCATTTTTGCCAATTTTTCCATTGCTTTTATAGAGGAAAGAATTTTCTAAAATCGTTCTGTCATTTTTCCTGACATCGCTCCCTGAGTAAAATATTTTTGAAAAGCACCTTGCAGGGCGCCTGGGTGGCTCAGATGGTTAAGCGTCTGCCTTCGGCTCAGGTCATGATCCCGGGGTCCTGGGATCGAGTCCCACATCGGGCTCCCGGCTCGGCGGGGAGCCTGCTTCTCCCTCTGACCCTTGCCCCTCTCATGCTGTTTCTCTCTCGCTCTCTAAAAAATGAATAAAATCTTTAAAAAAAAAAAAAAAGAAAAGCACCTTGCAGGGAATTGAAGCTGACTCTACTCTTAAGTGAGAGTGTGGGGAAGTTGGCTTTATAAAGATATGTAAATCAATAAAGGAAAGATGGTCCCATGGAAATCCAAGAACAGGAATTCCAATATAACTGAGCCCACAGATATTAAAATGAGTTCAAGGAAGCTTTAAAATCTGAGCAGAACTTCATAGTTCTTCACTGTAGTGGTCTGTCATACAGAAAAGTAGTTAAAGGCACAGACTTTTTTTTTTTTTTTTTTTTTTTAAGGCATAGACTTTGAACTCAGCCGTTCTGGATTCAAATTCTAGATCCACTTACTAACTGTATAACCTTGTTTTTCCTCATCTATTTAACAGGGCTAATAATAGTATGTACATCATAGGGATTTTGTGAGGTTGATATGAATCAGTTAATAAATAGAATTTAGAACAGTTCCTGACATAAATTATGTGCTTTAAAAATGTTGCTGTTATTACTTCAACTAGTTCAGCCTCTACTTCACTTTTCTTCTCATTATCAACTGCCATCATCACTCTCTATATCTTTTTAATATCACAGACCTTGGTATATCTTAGTTTCAATTTTATTATAATTTTAGGTAACATACTTTGGCTTACTCATGGATCCTAATTTCTTTATTCTCTCTGCCCTACTTTGTGGCTTCTCTCTATTTTCTTAGCTTTAATTCATATTTCCAGAGGGAGTATCAGAATGGTCTATCTCATCCCTCTTTGGTCAGAGCTTTTTACATTAGGCCACTTTCATGGACTCCTTCCTGGCCTTTGGATTATCTGCCCTTGAGTTGGTTCCTCTCTATCTGTAATGAGATAATATGGTATAATATATGGCTGTTTAGGATGGTACAATAAGCATATGATGTTTTTGTTGTACACAATGATGACTGAAAAAATAATGATTCTTCTTTTATTTCAGGGGAAGATATAATCCAGTTAATCGGAAGACAATGAATGCCAAGAGAGGACCAGTAAAAAAAGATTACGAGATCAAACCATCTTCCAAAACTCAATCTATAATTCTAGAACTGGGTGGATTTCTATTTCTTCCCTCTTTTGATCTATAATATTCAACTTGTGAAGTTAATGTTGAACACATTTTTCAGGGAATGAAATAGACAAAAAGAGCTATCAAACTTCTCTTTAGCTTCTCTTCCAGAAGTTTGTTCCTTTGTCTGTATGAAAGTAATTTTTTAAGTGATCCTAAAATATCTAATAGCATTGCTTATGATTTAAAAAATATCCTAGGAAGCCTGAAGGTTGGCATTATTACACTTACTTTTAATAATATATCCATAATCTGTGCTGATAGTAACAGTGCTATTATATTTGGTTTCTGTCAGCTGTTATCTGTCAGCTAAAAATGAATTCGTCAAAACATTTTGCTCTTATAGGCCATATCATGTTCAGGTCTTTTAAACCTGGTTTAAACAAAGCTACAAATCAGATGGATTTTGATTTGAACTATCATGGTGTTATGGAAATAGCCTTCAATCAGTAATCAGCTTGGTTATAATTTCTACCCTGCCATGAACTTAGGAGGTCTTGGGCAGGTTCCTTCATCTCATCTTTATTTCCCATATCTATAAAATGATGGAGGCAAATGATATAACTTCTAAGGTTTGTACTTTGCTAGAAAACCAATATTTATTCAACTACAAGGTCCTACTACTTAGCACATAGTGATTTAAATCATTTTATGATGTTTCTTAATTCATAGTGATGGCCTAATTCTTTAGACCAAACATTGCAGTGTTCACAATACTTAAGTCTCAATGTGGAGACAGAGTGAGGAGAGGAGAAGGGTTTGATATAATTTATTGAATTTTTCTATTTATGTTTAGGTTTTGTAACTATTATCTAGGTTTGGAACATACCTATGATTTATTTGCCCAACTTAATAAGTAAAATTATTGGACTTTATAATTCCAGAAATAACTCACAGCTAACTTAGTTTCCAGCTAATGGTGTTCTCACCTTATATCTGGAACTAAAACTTAACTTCTATTCAGTATCAACAGTAATGAATACTAAATGCATTTCTATAATAACTTTTATAGATATTCACTTTCTTTTTCTAAGGAAGAATTCATAAATTTCATATAGACAAATAATTCTTGTATGTGGCTTTATAAAGTATACAGAAAAACATAAAATAACTTTCTATATATTATTCCAAATGGGAACTATTTGGAAATATCTCCCCTGTTCTTTTTTTTTTTTTTTAAGATTTTATTTATTTATTTGAGAGAGAGAGTGAGACAGGGGTGAGGGACAGAGGGAGAAGCAGATCACTCGCTGAGCAGGGTACCCAATGCGGGGCTTGATCCTGGGACTCTAGGATCATGACCTGAGCTGAAGGTAGACACTTAACCAACTGAGCCACACAGGCGCCCCTATCTCCCCTGTTCTTAAGCTAACTACGGAGATCAGACACCGTGACCCATATTATTAAACAAATATTAGATTTTTAAATCTTATACAGTCTTTCTTAGCATTAGCAGCAAACTGATGACTTAAATTTTCATAATATTTATAATCACAGAGTCATCACTGAAAAATAAATTTATTTCTATCATACAGAGCAAGCCATTGTGAGGATTGGATTTGGAACATTTAAATTTATTTCCATCACTAGGATGGGGTATTAGTTGAATATCTTACTATGGGGACTCTGTCATGTTTAAGTATTAGCTCTGCAGGAGCTACTCTGGGATACTTTACAATGACAGAAAAGGCCTGTCTTAAACAGAGGGATAGGGTAGCATAAAGAACTGATACGGGGGACTCTCTAAGTTCTACCACCAGCTTTGCCACTTCTGAGCTTCTGACATTGAGTAAGTCACTTTTCATTGCCTCACTTTCATCATTTATAGAATTGGGAATAAATTTCTGTGCAGATCAAGGATACTACGTATTTATTTGTTTACTTTTTTAAACACTATTTCTAAAAAGGATTGTTAGCTTTTTTTTTTTTTTAAGATTTTATTTATTTATTTGACAGAGAGAGACACAGCGGGAGAGAGGGAACACAGGAGGGGGAGTGGGAGAGGGAGAAGCAGGCTTCCCGTGGAGCAGGGAGCCCGATGCAGGGCTCGATCCCAGGACCCCGGGATCATGACCTAAGCCGAAGGCAGATGCTTAACGACTGAGCCACCCAGGCGCCCCAAGGATTGTGTTAGCTTTTACTAAATGTAGAGGTATAAAAACAATGGTCATAAGATAACAGATAAAAGTTAATGTTTTGTAAGAATTCCCAACTAAGAAAAGCTCTAGCTTTTAAGCTTTCTAGCAATCATCACAAAGAAGGAATGAATTATACAGCTCTCATTTGTTTTGTAGAAGGAAGAAACAAGTAGAGAAAAAGTTTTACCTAATTCTGAGCTTTAAAGATAACGTATCATGTGAAGTTTTATAAGAAAATGTAATTATTTATTGAAATAAGCAGTGCAAAAATGATAGCTTGGGGTTTTAACTTTAACACTGAAATATGTATAAATATCAGTGTTTTTTTTAAAAGAGTTTAGAATTCATAAAGTAAACAATATATTTCAAAATTTTAATATTCTAAATATATTACAAAATATCAGTATCATTTATAAAAACAAATGTTGCTATAAAAAAGGCAGATGATGAAAAAAAAAAAAAGGCAGATGATGGTGAGTAAAAACAAGGATGTGGAGAAATTGGAGCCCTCATATACTGCTGGTGGGAATGTAAAATGGCATAGCCACTTTGAAACAAAGTTACCATATGACCCAGCAATTCCACTCCTAGGTATATATCCTAGATGAAACCTATGTCTACATAATAGGTCTAAGTAATGAAAACCTATGTCTACATAAAAATGTGTATACAGGGGGCGCCTGAGTGGCTCAGTTGGTTAAGCGTCTGCCTTTGGCTCAGACGCTTAATGTGGGATCGAGCCCCATGTCAGGCTCCCTGCTCAGCAGGGAGTCTGCTTCTCCCTCTCCCTCTGGTTGTGCTCTGTCTCTCTCTTTTTCAAATAAATAAAATCTTAAAAAAACACACACACACAAAAATATGTATACAAATGTTTATAGCACCATTATTTATAATAGCTAAAAAACTGAAACAACCCAAATGTCCATCAACTGATGAATGGACAAACAAAATGTGGTATATCCAAACAATGGGATATTACTCAGCAATTAGAAAGAATGAAGTACTGGGGCGCCTGGGTGGCTCAGTCGTTAAGCATCTGCCTTCGGCTCAGGTCATGATCCCAGGGTCCTGGGATCGAGCCCCGCATCGGACTCCCTGCTCAGCGGGAAGTCTGCTTCTCCCTCTCCCACTCCCCCTGCTTGTGTTCCCTCTCTCACTGTCTCTCTCTCTGTCAAAAAATAAATAAAATCTTAAAAAAAAAAAAAAAAGAAAGAATGAAGTACTGACATATGCTACAACTTGGATGGACCTTGAAAATATTATTCTAAATGAAAGAAGCCAGTCACAAGAGATCATATATTATATAATTCCATTTATATGAAAAGTCCAGAATAGGCAAATCCGTATAGACAAAAAGTAGGTTAGTAGTACTTGCCAGAGGCTGGTGGGGCTGGGGGAAGGGTGGGTGATGGGAAATGACTTAATGTATACAAGGTTTCTTTTTGGGGTGTAATGAAAATGTTCTAAAATTAATTGTGGTGATGGTTGCACAACTCCGTGGTATACTAAAAACTGAGCACTTCAAATGAGTTAGTGCATGTTATATGATTTGTACCTCAATAAAGTTATTAAAAAAACAAATGTTAAACATGCTAATATTTTATTAGCAGATAAATTTTAATGAAATCTTATTTGATCTTCCTCAGAAGATGTGATCTTAAAAATTAAGATGCATCATCATTTGGTGCTATTGTTGGGTGAAGAGCATAATTTTGAGCATAATTTTCCAACTAAAAAACTTGCAGATACTACACTAGTCAGAAAAATAATAAGGATTAAGGTCTGCTTCCCAATATTTCCTTGACTTCTTTTGAATAATTTCATCTCTTGCTTGATAACCTTGTGGAGATATTTATAAAACACCTTTTGATTTTTGATTAAGATTAGATTTTTTAAATTTATAAAGTGCTGGGCGCCTGGGTGGCTCAGTTGGTTAGGCGACTGCCTTCAGCTCAGGTCATGATCCTGGAGTCCCGGGATCGAGTCCCGCATCGGGCTCCCTGCTCGGCAGGGAGTCTGCTACTCCCTCTGATCCTCCCCCATCTCATGCTCTCTCTCTCTGTCTCATTCTCTCTCTCAAATAAATAAATAAAATCTTAAAAAAAAAAATTTATAAAGTGCTATGTAAATTTTGTTTCGAAGAAATTATTTCTGGTTTCATCATCTTCATTAGTTTTATCATGTGCAGCTAGACATTCCAAAGCAGAGTTATCTATTTCAGTTTTAGTACCATGATACTTGTATTCTACTGGACAAGAAATTCTTTATTTTGGACTAAAAACTGTCCATGTAACAGAATCTTATCAATAACACTGTGGTTTCTTTTTTGTTATGTGCACAATAAGTAAGGACTTATAGACCACATATTGTGTCTTTTTTTCATAAATTGAGTAGATGAATTATAGATATTTATTTCAAGATATAAATACTTCAGATTTTTAAAAAATACCAGAATAACAGAATTATGACAACAATGATGCTAGGGTTTTGGTATTTAAAAAGCACATAATGGGGCATCTGGGTGGCTCAGTCAGTTGAGCAGCAGACTCTTGATTTCAGCTCAGATCATGATCTCAGGGTCCTGAGATCTAGCCCGGTCTTGGGCTCCGCCCTCAGCACAAAGTCTGCTTGTCCCTCTCCCTCCCTGTCTGCCCCTCCATGCTCTCTCTAATAAATAAATAAATAAATATTTTTTAAATAAATAACAAAAAGCGCAGTGTATACCAGAATACTAAAACTCTTGTTAAAATCACTAAACATGATTGAAGGATGAAAAAGTATCTTTAAAATAATAAAATACTACTTAAATGGAAGATCATGTCATGACAGTCGGGCACTATTTTAAAAACAAGTAGTAGATTAATCTGATCTATGAATTAGAAAAATTTTGAATTTATAGAACATCCTTTTAATTTTATCAAAGCAATATCTTAGATATTATCTCAGTTACAGGGAAAGTCTTATTATCTGAAGAACCACCCAACAGTGAGTTTATCATTATTGGGAGTGTTCAAGGCTAGGAGACCCTTTGTCAGGGAGATCATAGAAAGGATTCCTACAGTGGGTGGAAGTTGGATTCATTTGACTGCCAATATCCCATCTGTGATTCCCTGCTCACTTATCAGATAAGGAAACGAGACAAAAAAAATCACTTCCTAAAATATGATTGTATCATATAGGCTGTAAATATGGACTTTCAAAAACATTGCTTTACCAGTAGCCACAACTAACAAAATCAGCTATAGTATTATTAATGGCCATTTGTTAAAAGTAATCCAAAAACAGTTACATTTTTTTACCTATAATAAGCAGTGGTTTTCAAAAAGATAATTTTCAATGCTAATACATCTGAAGTTAAAAAGTTCTAGTATATTGCTGGTGAGGTTATAAATTAATATAATTCTTTTGGAAAACAATTTGATTATGTTCTCGAATAGCCTTCATGTTCATACATTGACTCAATCATTTTATTTCTAATAATCTGTTCTAATGAAAAATTGTACATACAGAAAACACAGGAGGACAATTGTTTTACCAGCATTTATAATTCCAAAAAATGGAGACTTCCTCAATGTACAATTATATGCATAAGTGGATTGTGATTCATCCACATGGTTGATTATTATGCAGCAATCAGGACTTTCTATCTTATATTGAAATTATTTCACCTCACATATTACCTGCATTTGAAGCACTTCAGTGTCATTTATCTCCAGCACTTAAATGAACAATTTTATTCATTATTTGTCACCAGCTAGCTTAGCGCCTAGTATATGACAGGTACTTAATACATTTTGTTTAACTTAAATGAGTGTTTGCAAAACAGAGTTTATAATATCAGGGGACGACTTAATACTAGGATGTTAACACAATGTTACAAAGTGATACAAAATCATTGATTTTAACTATTTAAACGTATCTGTAGGAGAGGGTTACAAAAAGGGGACTTTACTGATGCCAAAATATGTGTTTCTATTCTACAAATTTACTGTCCAACTCTACCGAGGAAGGTGAGTTAGGCTCCAAATGGTGATCTAGCAAAAGCGGGGAGGGAGAGGGGGAAACCTATGGAGTAGAAGGGAACATACTTTAACACACTAACTTAGGAAAGCTTGCTTAACTTCCTGTCACGGTTTTACTTTGTAGAATGAAGATAGAAAAAATTGATTTCAAAGGTGGCACAGAACGGGGGTATAAGCCTTTTTATTGCAACAATTCTGATATGTTAATGTAATAAAAACAAGCAATAGAAATTACAGAGCATCATAAGGTACCTAGAAAATGTATATTGACTTGCCAGTGTGTAAGTAGTTGAGAAAGTCTTTGAAAGTAGCTGACAGCACTAGAGTAATTTGTCTATATAATGTTAAAGGAACTGAGGCAAAGAATAAGTAAATAGTGGGAAGAAGTCAATGAAGTAACCACTCTAGGATTTAGAAGCTTTCAAGGAGAATATTTTCCTTTATCTCTATCCTTTCCTTTTCCTTCTCATTGCTACAACTTAGTTAAGCCTTTATTATAGCCAGTTAGCTTGACAAAGGAGAAAAAGGTGGTAAAAATTTCATACGAGGGTGTTGAGAGTCAGTTAATAACACTTACTGCTGACAGACATGGAGAATCCTTTAATCTTCCTAACTAGAATTGACCTCTTTAGTAACTGAACTCCCATGATTAACTCCCTTGCTTATGCCACTTTTGTGGCTCTAACCACCTTCTATCCTAAATAATAGGTTTATTTTGTTGTATGCTTTGC